GCTTTTGTAGCCTCCCCCGCAGCACCAAAGCAGCTCGCAATGCTCACCTTTCCTTGTGGTTCTCTGGAAGATGTGTGCATTCTGCCTCGTGGTGAAGAATTTAAAGTAGGTGCAGTTTGCTCCTGCGAGACAAGAGAGAAAGAGAGAGAGGTGATGATGACAGGGCAGTCTCTGGTCAATAGAAGCTCGCCTGTTCTGGGGTGGGGGCAGGATGAGTCAAAAGGCTGATGCTTCAAACCCACCCAAAGGCAGTTGGGCGAGAGACCTGGGGATCTGCTCCTGTCAAGATCACAGGCAAGCCAGCGCTTCTCTCCACTGTCTCACTCGGGGTCACCACCACGAGTAGGAATCAACTCAAGGGCAACGGGCTGGGTTTCTTGGTTTGTGCAAGTGTGGTAGTTACGTACTCTGGTGTCAATTTGAGGATTCAGAGTGAAGGGGTGGAGTCTCACCTGTCAATCAGATCATAGCCAATGAGGCCTCTGTGTGGGCCTGGTCTTCTCCTGAGGATTCTGGGAAATCATGTATTTCTTCTTTGGAGGTGGGGAGTCTCACCTGTCAATCAGATCGTAGCCAATGAGGCCTCTGTGTGGGCGTGGCCTTTTCCTGAGGAAAAGGAAGACAGGAACTCCTGTCTTCCTCCTTGGAGGCGGGAGACATTCTCTCTCTGTTTTGACTCCCTGGGAGACACTCCAGCTGACAAGACACATGGAGTTACGCTAGTGCCCTGAGTTGGAGGAGTCACATGGAGACCCCAGCCAGTGCTGAGATGCTTACGCTGCCACTGGAGCGACAAGACTTCCCACCCACTGGCCTGTGATCCTCCTGCCTTCAGCATCATTGCATGTGTTTAATGAGTCTGAACAGGAATGTATAGGTTGGTGTCAGACATATGGGCTAATATCGGACTTATGGACTTGATCTGGACTGGGCTGGGACGTATTCTCAATATTCAATTGCTCTTGTGGACAAAACTCTCTCTTACACACATAGGAATGTCTACAAATTTGTTTCTCTGGTCTACCTAGACTAACACAACAAGCTCAAAGGTTTAACACTTTAACTTAGTCCACCTAGCTAAACCCACTGCCGGTGAGTGTGTTCTACGGTACAGCAACATTGTGAGACAGCGCAGAATGGCTCCCTTGGGTTTCGAAGACTGCAAATCTTCCCGGGAGCAGGCAGCCTCATCTTTCTCCCTTGGAGCGATGGGTTGGCTTGAACCACGGGCTTCAGCAGCCAGCACTTTTAACATTGTCCTCAGCCATCTTAAATGATGGCATGTGTATCCCCGGCATACAGAGAAGAATGATACTCTGTGATATAAAAGCCTCTTGCTGCGCAAGAGCTGTGGTTTCTCAGAGGTGCAAATGCTTGAGCTCTCGACAAGTATCGACCTGGTTCGGGGATCGACCTCCCAAAGGCTACAGCCGTGAAAGCCACATGGACCACCATGTTAGCTGACAGGCGTGGAACCATCGTGGTTGAGATCAACTCAGTGGCAATGGTGGTAGTTGGAGATTATGTCAACGAGACCCTCCTGGGTAAGGGTAGGGGTGGAGTACAACCTACCAATTGGGTCACAGTCTGATGACACCTCCTTGGTGTCATAAGGCTTCTTGTCTGAGAGAGAGAGACTGAGCAGAGTCAAATCCCCTTGGGCCCTTCCCCTTCTGCCAGAGCTGGATCTTGCATTTCATTCCTCAATCTTCGGTTGCATCCTCTGCCAACCCGGGAACTGGTGGTGGATCCATTCAGCCGACTCCAGACCACTACATCCACCAGCCTGTGCCCCCTTCAACTTCCCTAAGTCAGGAGAAGGCTGACCTGAGTCAGTGTAGACCTACCAATTTCTACAGCTGTGTAAGCCATATCTTGCTGTAAATCTCATTCTGTAGACAAATGCATACAAGCAACACTGGTCTCACTTCTCCAGCGAACCCAAACTGAACACAAGCAACCAAGAACAGCAACCAATCCAGAACTTTGAGGACCGTGGACCTTCTGGATAACCCGGCGATAAGCTCTTCCCTCGCTCTTTCATACTGGTCTGTGGAGGGTCAACTGGGATTAGAAACAGATACTTGTCTCAAAAGACACGACCATCAATGCCCATTCACCTGGAGTAAGAGGAAGGAGGAGAGTCGGGAATGGGAGGAGGGCATGGAATGGGTGACTAACTGCCTCAGTGAATAACTGCCTCGTTTGCCCAGAGACCAGAAGAACGGAGTGGGTGCCCAACTGCCACTCCTGAAGGGTTGGATGCAACAGTCTCTACAATAATCCTGGTCAAAAGAGGGGAAATGTCGAGCAGAAACATTTCTCATCGAACCCATACTGCCTGGGGTTATAGAGACCAGGTGATGTCTGGAAATGACAACCCTGAGACAATCTTTAAACCTTCAATTAATGAGAGTCCCTGATGGTCTTCTCTAAATCAAACCACCACCCCAAACTCACCACCACCGGGTCTTTCTGACTCTGAAGTCGAGGCTTTCTACTCCTGTAAAGTCACCATCTCCGAAACCCACAGGGACACTTCCACCTTGTCTTAGAGAATCGCGAGGGAATCAAAACAGTAGATTAACTTAATAAACAAAAATCTTCAAAATCTCTCAAATCCACTGCCATTGAGCCTATTCCGGCTCCTGCAACCCCACAGGACAGGGCACAACCACTCCCTGTGGGTTTCTGAGACTGTCACTCTTTACGGGAGCCGAAAGCCTCTTCTTTCTCCTATGGAGCGGTGGGGGGTTTTGAACTGCTGACCTTGTGGCTAGCGGCTCCATGCCTAACCACAACACCACCAGGGCTCACGAGTGCCTCGAGTGTGGTGCACTCTTCAAGAACAATCCCTTTGGGATCAAACTGGCAACAGTGATTCGAAAGGCTAGATGGGAACCCAAAGGGGGCAGGGCGGTGAACTTACATCCGAGGGGAAGAAACCACTGATAAAAGGAGGGCGAGGGATGGCGGTCTCACAACTTAGAGAAGCTCATCAGCGACCATACATTGTGGTACGTGTAGAAGCAGGTGCGCATTGCGTCATGAGTACGCTCAACGTGATAAACATAAAACAAATCATATTTAAAAGGGAAAAGAGAAATGGGTGGTGACTTTGTGCTACAGAAGACTAGCCAACTGACATGTCTAAAATCAAGAAAGGGTTCCTATCGGGAACAACAAGGAACCCCTGTAGGTGAGCAAGAAAAGAAAGGGTAGCCTGCACAGGAGTGATGGTCCCCTGAGGGTACAGGAAGTGGGGGTGGGGGGACCCCCTGATGACTGGGTAGCCCCCCTTGAGGGGAGGGAACAACAAAATTGTACTTAAACGGATCTATTGGATGGTGTAAGATGCAGCAAAAAATAAAAACTAAGAGTTCGGGGTAGGGAGGTAGGGGGGTGCAGGGTGGGGGAGAGGGGATAAAGGGGAGCTGATTTCAAGGAGTTCAAGAAGAAAGAAAATGTTTTGAACCTGACTGTGGAGGCCGTTGTACAATACTGCTTGATGTGATTGATCTATGGAATGTTCTCTCTGTCAGAGCTCCCAATAAAATGGTGAGAAAAGGAAAGAAAGCTCACCCTGCTGGGAAAAAAGAAAAAACACAGGCCAGCCGAGGACTGGAAGGTCAGTTCATGCAAGAGGAGGCCTGTGTGAGTCACCAGTGCGCTGGAGAGAGAGGGTCTGAGCAGAGCAACTTAGAGCGGCAGGGAGCTGCCACTTCACATCAGTGAGATCTGCAGAGACTCAAAGCGCAATCCCAGGCATGGGGAGGACGAGAGGAAACAGCTGGGAGTCTTTCTGCACAGCACTCTGAAATGAAGTATGCTTCTGTCCGGTGGCCAGCAATGCTGCATACCAGGGAAAGCTCAAGGAAAAACAAAGAGTACTGATCCGAGGGTTCATGCACGCACACGTTTTTTGCCAAAGAAAATGTGGTTAAGACGAGTCTCTGCTGTTCTCAGAGGGCTGAGGACAAGTTTTCTCAGTCTCCTTCAGAAAATAGCTAGCTTTCCCTGGCTTTTAAAATATGGATGCGGTCTTTCCTTCCTTGTTCATTGTTGTACTTTTATCTTTGTGTTCCTATTGTTTTCTTCTTCCCACCCCATTTCCTTTCCGTTCTTTATCGTTTCTGTTGGGCCTGCCAGTTTGGGAAGCACACAAGGAGCAGAGGCCGAGAGAGAATAACTGATGTGAAGGTGTGTAGGGGTTGTAAGGGGGGTGGGGGCGGATTTGGTAGTAAACAGTGAAGGGGAGAGGGGGTGGGAGCACTAGGACTGAGGGTGATTACACAATTCATTTTAAAGGTGATTTCATCACGGGAGTAAAAAAAACAAGAAAGAAAATGTTCTGAAATTAATTGCGGTAATGACTGTGGCATGCTTCCCGACGTGATTGAGCAATTGAATTGTATGGTGTGGATTAGGTGGCAATAAAACTCAAAACAAAACAAAACGACAAACAAAATTTTAAAACTCCCAAACTGCCCTCAAGCTGACGACCACTCACAGGGACCCCAGAGGTCAGGGTAGAGCTGCCCC